ATATATATATATATATACATATATATATATATATATACATATATATATATATATATATATATATATATATGCATGCATGCATGCAACGGTTGTGGGGGCGAAGCAAAATGGAGAGTCACCTTTGGGGCTGCTGGGGTGTACAGACACCCGGGTGCAGCACTATACAGCGATGCTGCTGCTGCTGCTGCTGCTGCTGCTGCTGCTGCAGCAGCAGCAACTGCTGCTATAGCTGCAGCAGCAGCTGCTGCTGCTGCTGCAACTGCTGCTACGACTACTGCTGCAGCTGCTGCTGCAGCTGCTGCAGAAACTGCTGCTGCAACTGCTGCTGCAACTGTAGCAGCAGCAGGTGCGACTGCAGCAGCAACTCCAGCTGCTCTTACAGCTGCTGCTGCTGCTGCTGCTGCAGCAGCAGCAGCAGCAGCAGCAGCAAAGAAAGTAATTTGTTTATGCAAAGATAAGCTCTGTCTCCGGGAGCCACCGTAAGAAGGGCTCCAGGGTAAACTCAACCACAGACACTGCAGCAGACAAAGACACACAAAAAAAAAAATATATAAAAAGACAAAGACAAAGACAAACAAAAAAGAATATATATATAAAAAGACAAAGACAAAGACAAACAAAAAAAAAATATATAAAAAGACAAAGACAAAGACAAACAAAAAACAAAAAAAAATATATAAAAAGACAAAGACACAGACAAGGACAAAGAGGAGACAAATATATAAAAAGACAAAGACAAACAAAAAACAAATATATAAAAAGACAAAGGCAAAGACAAAGATGAGACAAATATATAAAAAGACAAAGACAAAGAGGAGACAAAGATATAAAGACAAAGACAAAGGGGATACGAATATAGAAAACAGAGAGAAAGAGAAAGAGAGAAACAAACAGAGAAAAGGAGACAAAGAGGAGACAAAAAAGAGACAGAAAAAACAGAGACAGACGAGGGGAGACAGACACGGAAAGGAAGTAGGGCAGGTAAAACAACAGCAGCAGCAACAGCAGCAGCAGCAACAGCAGCAGCAGCAACAGCAGCAGCAGCAACAACAGAAGCAGCAGCAACAGCAACAACAGCAACAGCAGCAACAGCGACAAAAGCAGCAGGAGCAGCAACCACAGCAGCAGCAAGACAGCAACAAAAGCAACAACAACAACAGCAGCAGCAGAAGCACCATTAGCACCAGCAACAGCAGCAGCAGCAGCAGGAGCAGCAGCAGCAGCAGCAGCAGCAGCAGCAGCAGCAGCATGTGACCTGGTACAGATAAGCCAAAGGCTCGGAGACAGTCGACGTGCAGCGTCCCCATCTGCCCTATAACGATTGTTTCTGTCTCCTTTTCTTTTATTTTTTTTTCTTTTGTCTCTTCTGCTGCTGCTGCTGTCTCCTTTGCTGCTGCTGTCTCTGCTGCTGCTGTCTCCGCTGCTGCTGCTGCTGCTGTCTCCGCTGCTGCTGCTGTCTCCTCCTGTCTCTTGCTGCTGGAGTTGTCTCCTTTTTTCTCTGCTCTTCTTTTTACTACTATCTCCACCTGACGCCCGGGCAAAAATGTAGGCACTGAAAGACACAGCAGCAGCAGCAGCAGCAGCAGCAGCAGCAGGAGATAGCAGCAGCAGCATAATAGCAACAGGAGACAGCAGCAGCACCATAACAGCAACAGGAGATAGCAGCAGCAGCATAGCAGCAACAGGAGACAGCAGCAGCAACAGGAGGCAGCAGCAGCAACAGGAGACCAAAAGAGAATTGAGAAAAACAATAAAAACAACAGCAACAGCAGCAACAACAGCAGCAGCAACAACAGCAGCAACAGCAACAGCAGCAGCAACAGCAACAGCAGCAGCAGCAGCAGCAGCAGCAGGATGTCATATTACATTGTGTGGGTCTGAGTGAGTAGATAGAGATATCCTCTGTACTATCATCGACTTTCTTTTGTTCTTCTTTTGCCCCGTTTGCTGCTGCTGCTGCTGCTCCTGCTGCTGCTGCTGCTGCTGCTGCTGCTGCTGCTGCTGCTGCTGCTGCTTTTCTCTCTGCTATTGTGTAGTCTGCTGTTAGGCCCAAGGCCTCCATTGCTGCATCTAATAAGCCGTGCACCTCCTGTACATACACACAAACCCTAAACCCTAAACCCTAAACCCTAAACCCTCAACCTGAGGATTCTTTTAGTCCAAACAAAAGCAACAGCAACATCAGCAGCAGCAGCAACAGCAACAGCAAAAACGGCAGCAGCAACAACAGGAGCAGCAGCAGCAGCAGCAGCAACAACAGGAGCAGCAGCAGCAGCAGCAACAATAGCAGCAGCAGCAGCAGCAGCAGCAGCAGCAGCAGCAGCAGGAGGAGAGATGTTTACCTCTAGCCCGCTGCCGTGTTCATCTGCGTATACAGCGCAGCAATAGAATAGGTTTCTGCTGCCTGTCTCCGTTCTCTCATCGACAACAACTACGTCTCCTACCTGCAGCAACACACACACCAACTGTCTCCTTGCTGCAGCAGCACACACACAAACTGTCTCCTTGCTGCAGCAGCTGCAGCAGCACACACACAACTGTCTC